AGTAATGGAAAAATGTAACAGATAATGGCTGTAATACTTTAATCTGTTATAGTTGGTTCCTCCTCCTGCTGCAGACTATTAATACAGATAATGAAAACTTTGATTTAGCATCCAGGGCTGCGAAATGTCTGTGGAGAAGATGAAATTAGACAAATGTACACCAAGAGAGGACTTTATATTAATGAAATCACCTTTTTTTCTACATGTAAACTGAGCATTTACATATACAACACTCCACTACATTTACATTTATTCCTAAATATATCGACCGTCCAAAGAGTATTTAAGAACACACATACAAAAGATCTTTTTGTTAGCGGTCATTTCTGAAGATGGCGCTCATTTCGGTGCCTCGTTAAATAAATTGATTTGTTTGTTCAAAGTGAATATGCAAAGAAGAACCAGCTTCATAAATTTGACCAGGAACACTCTCTGCTGCAGACCTAATTATACAACCTGTCAATCTGAGGCTAATTTTCAGGCGTGGTTCATGTTAATTGGGTGGAAGGGTTTTAGTTTTTTTGTTTTTTTTCAATCCACATACGCATTCAGTTTGTTACAGAGGTTAAATAAATAGAACACGATGTGACAGTCACTATTGTTTATTGTTTTAAGTTACCGAAATCTGCAACATCTGGTCTGCAACCCGTCGGGGGTCCATACAGGTGCTGCAGAATGGTCGTGAAATGTTTGGTTACTCAGACAAAACTTTATACAAAGTACTTTTATTAAAATAAATAATACAAGTACTAAGGCCTAGTTAACTTACACAATATTATACAGTCTTTATAGCAAAAAGTTCCTTTGAAGATAAATTAAATCATGGTTTGCACTGTTAAATTTTAATCACTGAATCTATTATCCCAAAATGAAACACCAATGTATTGGGGGCTCTATTGCCCAAGGCCCCTGTATTTGCCCACCCAGTCGGCAACAACTTGCTCGTCACTTGCACGCCACCTGTTAACATCTGGTTGTAGTGGAGACAATTATTGGGGGAGGGAAGGGGGGGGGGGGTTATAAAAAACACTCAACCAAACCACTCAATCTGTGTTGAACTAAACAACATAGAGAATCTTAGACCTGAGCGCCCCCTGTTTATTTATCAACTTTCTCCCAGTAGTGAAAATGTAAGAAAATCTAAACAGTGCTGGAGACAGAGCGGCCGTCCTCAGAGAGCAGACTGTAAACACTGTCCCCAGTTGTGCACTTTTAAACGAAGTGTCTCTGTATACACGATAATTCTCAATTAATCTGGAACCTCCTGGCATTTTTAGCGGCAGGAATCATCCCCACTGGATTCATTTGGCTTCGCCCAAACACGTTTATTTACACAGGGTTGGAGGAATGGTTATTGGAATATCCCTCAACCAGTGGAGGAAACAGTATGGCACAGACAAACAAACCTGACCGTAACATTCGAAGCCTCGCAACCTATAACCACTGTTCTATTTCGGGGGAGTGAAAAAAAAATTTGAAAAATTAAAGTAATTCAGTCTAATTTATTAAGTTGAAACTGGCAGTAATTAAAAGATAATAACTTTAATTAAGCTTTTCATTAATTAACCATTGAATTATAGGACAATGGCATTAACGACAGCCTTCGTAAAAAACATTAATGACAATTATTAGCAATATAAGGTTGACCTTCACATATATATTTGTACATATATATATACATAACATACATATATGTATACGTGTTCATATATACATATGTGTACATATATACACAAATGTTTGTATATATATCGTATAGATACAGTATATGTGTACACACATATGTATGTATTTATATATGTACACATATGTATGTATATATGTATATATATATGTACATATATATATATATGTACATATATATATA